CCCCAAAACCCCAAAACCCCAAAACCCCTCATTGAAGATATTGCTAAAATTCATTTTTCAAAAGAAAATTAAAATCTAATTTAGTTCATTTTTTAATTATGGTTTATTATATTTTTTCCACCAGCAAAATAATTACTTTAAATTCTTAATATTTCCTTTATGAATATATTCCAAAAATCAATAGTTATCAATTATCAAAGGAGTTTATGATTTTCTTCTTAACTCATAAATTTCTAGTTCTTCTTAACAATTCTTAAAATGATTTAAGAGTTCATCAATAAACTCATCAATTAATTCCTTATTAACATTATGGAGGATGACTGATTAGAGTTATGACTCATTAACATTTTATAAAGAGTACTTTGAGATTATTTGTTCAGGGATATTTGCTCTTGGAAGTATCACATGCAAGTGTCTTCTTTATATTTAATCTTAATGAAATATTTGCAGCAACTTATCGCAAAAGTAATCAGCTAGCTTCATATCATATTCAATAAGCTTCTAGAGAATATCTTAGTTTTCATGAATTTTCAAAGTTTTTAATATATGTAGAGCGCATACTACTGTGAGGCCTGATCTTGTTCCAGTCAAAGCAACTTTATCTTATATTGAAACATACTCAATGAAATTATCACATTGAAATGCATAGTGAAACTGCAGCTGGTATTTAGCATCCTAAAAATTTCTAGAGAGAAACTGATATAGTATCTAAACCTGCCTTTCTAATGTCTCCGTATTGTTTGAGAACTGGAAAGGTAAGTCCGTATAGTAAGGCGTCCCCATGAAACACAAAATTCCAATTATTATTATATTTTCCCTAATCTTCATTATAGTTATTAAACTGATTTTAACCATCTTTTTATAAGCAGCCTAATTCTTACTAGACTTCTTAAATTACTTTGCGAACACAAATTAAATCGTCAAAAGATCCTCCTATTTAAGTTCCGAGATTTAGACTTATGATAAAGTTGACATCTTAATACTCTTAAAATTCCGTTAATATATTTCTTAAAGATTAGGTATTCATCGATCCATCCTCATTGACTTATACGAAGCAAGTCTTGAATTCAAAAGCTTAAGCAGCTTTAATGATTGAAATATCTGAATATGGAGGTCTTGAGCAAATCAATATTGGCTATTTGATAATCTTAAGTTGTTTTGTATATTCATAGATCTCTTGGTACTTTAAATTCTTGAGCTAATAATCCTCATCTCTTTTTATATTCTCGGCATTTAGTTTAGCAATATCTATTGTCTGCTATAATTCAGTTATCTTAGAACGAGATTTCATAAGTAAGTAAAGATTGCACCACCATAAACAGGTAAAATTTGCTTCACATTCACTAGCAGTTACATATCCTGACATATCATTGAATCCAAGTAATTTACCCAAGATCTCTATAACTTCTTGCTCACAAGGGTTTTTCCAATGATTATTGGTATCAAAGGGATCTCCATAAGAGAAATCAAAGGATTCGGCCACACTCTAAGGAATGATTCCGAATTATTTGCTATCTACTAATTTGAAATTCTTCGTTCCATCTCTATTAGTTGGATAGAAAGTTGTATCAATTGACTCTAAGTCAGGATGCTTGTTATAAACCATGGTCATTATTGAAGAGCAATAACTAAGTATATGCTCGCTGTAGTCTGTGAGAGACCTCCCTCTAGTTTCTAATTGCTGAAAGTTCATAGGTATTAAATATATAAATATTGATATGATTAATTTGATACCTTTATGACTTACCATAAAATGGGGTTTTGGGGTTTTGGGGTTTTGGGG